AGAGATGCCAGAGTCATGGGTTACCTGCTGAGGAGAGCTGCTAACAGGGAGCAGAACCAGCCCAAGAGAGGGAAGTGTGTTGCAGTCAACAAAGCTGAAAGGAGCTGGAGATCTGAAGAGCATTTTGACACCGGACATGGAGATGCAGAGTCTGGAGTTTGCCCAGCTGGTTTTCAGTCTTGCTTTGGTCCAGTATTTCCCCACTATGCTCCCTTTCCTCCCTTTCGGAACGGTTATGTGTGTACTGTGCTGTTGTATGTCAGAAGTATGTGATCTGCTGCTTTTATTTCTGTCTTACAGAGGATTACGGTTAAGAGATTAATTGAATCTCCAAAGAGACTCTGAACTTTAGACTTTTAAACGTTGTTGAGACTGTGACAGACCACCGCCAGTTTTGAAGTTGGATTAGATGAATTTTGCATTATGATATTGTTTATGGTGGAATGTGGTAGTTTGAACGTAATTGGCCCCATAGTCTCATGGGGAGTGGCCCTATCCAGAGGTGGGTCTTTGTTGGAATGGGTGTGGCCTTGTTGGAGGAAGTGTGTCACTGTGGGGGTGGGCCTTGGGGTTTCCTATGCTCAGGATACCGCCCAGAGTCTCAGTCAACTTCCTGCTGCCTGCAAGATGTAGGACTCTCAGCTCTTTCCTCCAGCACCAAGTCAGACCGCACGCCACCATGCTCCCTGCCATGACGATAACGGACTGAACCTCTGAAACTGTGAGCCAGGTATCTCAGTTCAACACTTTTGTTACAGGAGTTGCTGTGGTCACATTGTCTCTTCACAGCAATAGAAACCCTAATAAGAGGGAGCCTCGTCCCTCAGGGAAACTGAGGTTGAAATTGCCCTGTGTGTCGGTTAGCAGATGACTCAGCTTCTGATGAGTATCCGCTGGCTGCCTTTACTCCACCCTTTGCACCCCAAAATGCAACCAGATCCGTTCACTGCAAGGACCCTGCTCCCGAGTCCTCCACCCCACTGGGGGATTTCAAGGTCTCTAAGGACAGGGTCTCATTTGCAGAGCATGCCACCCCAGTGACCAAGCAGATGGCAGCTGCCAGGCCAGTTTCTTCCCTCTTGTTATTGGAGAGACCATTTAGTGACTGACTGTGGCCTGACACCTTACCCCCACCCCCAGACATTAAACCTGGGATTTAGCGAAAGCTCACCCAGATAAGCCCTGTACAAATAAGAACACACCTTTAGCTAAGAATGAGGCCTGCGGTTCCAGAATCTTCTGTCTCTTCATCTCAGCCTTAGCTGGGGTGCCCTCTGTTATTCCCACCTTCCTAGGAGGAGTCAAGAGTATGGAGACAACATTCCCACACCAGGCCCGTTGGCCTTCCAACTGTCCACATGATCAGGCGCAGTGTCCTACAAGTCAGTGTGACCCTTTTGACCCGTCCCATCCCTGGAAACTGTGACAGAGCCAGGACGCTGAGTGTGTGGAGCCGAGGTAGAAGCAGGGGGATTAGCTTGAGGCCACTCTTAGCTACGAAGAAAGTGCAAGGCCAGCCGGCTGCATCACAGGCTGCATCACAAGGAAGGAGCTACTAGCTAAATAACCTTTTTCACTTCATATGTTACTAGTACTCAGATACTGTGTTGCAGCCACACAGTACTGACCAATGCAACTTGTATCTGTCCAACCGATCCCCAGGGATTTGTATTGTTGCAGGGCTGTCTGACAAAGCACACGACTCTCAGTGAAGTGTCATTCACAGTTAGCATCAATGTGGATGCACAGGACCAGGCAACATTTTATTTGCTCACTGGGCGCCTAGGATCTCAGAGCCTATGTTTCATGGAGCTGAACTCAGCAAGTATGAATAGTTTATGCTCCCTGCTCGCCTCTCTCCTCCGCCAGCGGGGCAAATAGGTTAAGTCCTATGGGAAAAGGGTTCTCACCAGAGGTGGCGCCGCCCTCAGGGGAAGATTTCAAACAGAGACTTAGAAAACGTCTAGCAAGTGTAGACTTCTTTATAACGTTTCCCCTGTTGCTCGTGTTCACTCCCGGCGTCCTTTGCTCCTGCTTTCAAGTCATCTGTAGACGCATCCATCGAACGCCACGCTGCAGAAAGAGGACAGGTGGCATTTGGTTTTCTTTTTTCTTTTTTTTTTCTTAATCCTGTCTGTTTCCCTTCACACACAAGCCCACACTTGCACTCACACATGCACACACACACTTATACACACACACACACACACACCACACCTTGGGGGGCTTTTTCACCCCTTCCTCCTTAGGGAAGGAACTTTTGCTTTTTTGTTTTTTAAATTGTTGTATAGTCGTCGGGTGTGGTAGCACACACCTTTAATCCTAGCACTTGGGAAGCAGAGGCAGGTGGATATCTGTGAGTTCGAGGCCAGCATGACCCTCAGAATGAGTTTCAGGACAGCCAGGACTGTTACATGGAGAAACCCTATCTCAAAAATAAACAAATAAATAAATAATGATACTAGTAGTGTGTGTGCGCACGTGCACTGTGCAAAAACACTGGAATGCTTGCAAAGAGGCCAGAGGAGGACTCTGGGTGACCTGCTCCATCGATCTCCACCTTATTCTGCTGAGACAGGGTCCCTCCCTGAGCCTGGAGCTAGCGTGGTGGCCAGAAAGCCACAGTGACCCTCCAGCGTCCACCCCCACAGCACTGGGGTTACAGTTACCTGTACAGTCATGCCTAGTGTCAGACAAGGGTTCTGGGGATTTGAACCCAGGTCTCCATACATGCACAGCAAACAGTCCTATCCTCCAAGCCATCTCTTCAGCCCTGGGGAATGAACTTTTGATGGGCAGGCTGGCGCTCCACCATCCAGAGACTGGAACTCTGTCCATGTCAGGATGGGCTAGAGCAGCATCCCTCCACAGAGAAGGTTTCCTCTGCTCCAGGGTGCTCATACAGGTAGAGACTTGCTTCGGAGTGTCTGAGCTTGGAAACAAGCTCCCTAGGAATGCGATGTATGCTTTGCACTGTTTTGCAGGGCACAACAATTGTGGGAATGCGGGGACACCTGTGTTCTGATTTCTTTAGTTCACTTGGCTTTGAGACCTCACCTGAGTTAGTCTTGCTCGGTGGCTGGGAACTCACCCCAGGGCCTCTTTCTGATCTCGTTTTGTCTCTTGCTACAGAGGGCCAAGCATACTAAGTATGGAGTATCTCCTAGTTTATTACAGAAGCTCAACGTCATCTCCCTTTGTGCTTCCATCACATTCCATGTAATGGACACCTAAGCGCGCGCCTTATTTCAGAGTATGCTCCGTGACTTGTGGCCACACTGTGGGCTGAGCCAGTGCCCTTAGTGTCCCTGGCAGTGCAACAAGAGAGAGATTTGTTATAAAAGAGCTCATGTGGGGTGTCGCCGTGGTGGGTTCAATGTCTACCGTGAGAAACAGAGCAAGAGAGAAAGAGATGAGGACGGAGGGGAAGGAGGGAATGAAGGAAGGAGGGAGGGAGGAAGGGGGAGGGGGAGAGGAGAAGGGGGAGGAAGGGGAGGGAGGAGTCTGCCCTCTTTGGGTTACTTGGTCTTGTGCTCAATCTCCATCCTCTGACCTGACAAGACTCCAGTCTGGATCACCCTCACAACCATGCAGAGTATCCTTGTGGGGAGTGGTGTCCCCCACAGGTGGCTGTAACACACGCCTGCCCAACAGCTACCTTGAAGAGTGCGGTGAAATGTGCAGAAACACTTGTTTTCAGCGATGAATTATGTATGTGTGTGTGCATATGCGTGTGTATGTGAGTGAGTGTGTAAGTATGAGTGAGTGTGTCTGTGTGAGTGTGTGAGTATGTTGTGTATGTGAGTGAGTGTGTCTGTGTGTGTGAGCATGTGTGTGAGTGTGTATGTGAGTGTGTGTGTGTGAGTGTGTGAGCATGTGTTTGTGAGTGTATATATATGTGTGTGTGTGTGCACAGGTGTGTGCATGACATAAACGACACACAATGGAAACTGAGAAAAAACTACCAAAGGTGTCAGCAATGACATGTGGGCAACACAGGGACCTCAGTCGGGGCTGGAGTGCCAACTCTAGCATGTCCTGGCTATGCTGACTCAGGGAAAGAGTGTGAAGGGACTTGGTCTGCTTGTGGGTTGTGATCATCTACCTCGTGGGGTTGTGGTGACTGTCGAGCTAATGTGTCAGTCCCTTGGTCAGGGGCAGCCATTAGCAACGATGTCAGCCCCCATGGGGTGGAAGCCCTGGAGTGAAGGACAACATCCCAAGCACCCCTCCAGCATCTCCTGCCCCTCATCCTTCACAGCTACCCCGGTGCTGACCCACCGCTGGCCTGTTTCACAGCTACCCTGGTGCTGACCCACAGCTGGACTGTTTTACAGCTACCCCGGTGCTGACCCACCGCTGGCCTGTTTTCCTTTTGCCTCTGCACACTCCCAGGCCATCCTAGCCTAGGGGAAACATCAGATGCCCAGATACTCAACCCTCCTCCTCTGTCAACCGTCCCTGTATTGCATCCCCTCCACCTTTGCCTGTGACCTCAGCTGCTGAGCACAGGGACAAGAGTGGGCGTAGGATGGGTCAAAGCCAGTCGTTCACTTGCCTCCTGGGAACTTGTATTCTGAGCAGAGGGACTTTGTCCTAGTTGGGGTTCTATTGCTGCGACGAAACACCAGGACCAAAAATCAAGTTGGAGAGGAAAGGGCTCATTTGGATCACACTCCCACATCACTGTTCATCACTGGAGGGAGTCAGGACAGGAACTCAAGCAGGGCAGGAACCTGGAGGCAGGAGCTGATGTAGAGGCCACCGAGGGGAGCTGCTTACTGGCTTGCTCAGCCTGCTGTCTTATAGAACCCAGGACCAGCAGCCCAGGGATGGCCCCACCCACCATGGGCTGGACCCTCCCCCATCGACCACTAATGGAGAAAATGCCGTACAGCTGGATCTCGTGGAGGCATTTCCTCAACTGAAGCTCCTTCCTCTCTGATGACTCCAGCTTGTGTCGAGTTGACGTAAAAACCAGCCAGCCAGTACAGACTTGAAGATGGAGAAGTCTTATCTCCTTCACCTCCTCCCTTCCTGCCTCCCCTCGCCGGCCCAGGCACTCAGTCCCAGCTCCCTTCCCCCCTGCTCTGAGGACACCCCCTGCTTGGTGAGGCACGGTCCTGTCCTCTCTTCTGACACAGCGGAGCCTATGCTCTGGGGGGACTGGCTGAGTCTCCAGAGACAAAAGCCCCAGGGCACCGGGAGCCAGCTTTCACATCCCCGCCTGTAGGACACCATCTTCATGTGGGGCTAACCCTGCGTTGTGAAGAGAGACCTGGACAAGAAAATCTCTCGCTCCCGGAAGGTATCTGTGATGGTGTCGATGAGAAATGTCCCCCATAGCTTCGGGTGTTTAGATATTTGGTCCTCCGTCAGTGACACTGTTTGGAGAAGTTTAGGAGGCATGACATTGCTGCAAGAGGTATGTCACTGGGGGTGGTGGGCTTTGGGATAGAAAGCCTCCTGACATTTCCAGTTGAATGTCCTCTCTCTGTTTCTCTTTCTCTGACTCTCTCTGTCTCTCTCTCTGCTTCATGCTTGCAGTTCAAGATGTGACTCAGTTTCCTGCTCCTGCTATGTTCCCTCTGCCGTTATGGGCTTTAACTCTCTGGAAGTGTAAGTCAAAATGAATCCTTTCTTTGGTCAGCTGCTTTAATCACAGTGGTTTTTTTCACAGCAGAGAAGTAATTAATAGAGCCTTCCACAGTAAACATGACCAAGACCCCATGATCTAGGTGAACATAGACTCCATCCCCAGAAAAGGAAGCTGTACCTGCGTGGTTGTGAAGGAGACGGCCATCCCTGGTGCTGATGCTGAGTGTTAGGTGGCACCCTCCAGCAGGAGTCATGCTTCCTGTGCTAGCTCAAGCCAGAGGTGCCTCCAGCAGGAGCCATGCTTCCTGTGCTAGCTCAAGCATCCCCAGGTCCAAAGGAAGCACTGACCTGGCTCCCATAGCCTATACACAAAAGAGTCCCAGAGGAACAGAGTTGGCACCTTCCAAATACTTTCCCAATATAACATCTGGACAAGGGCTGCCTTCAAGCTGGTCTCCCAGCCCTCCAGGCTGCAGACCCCAACTCTGAGTCCCCAGAGTCATATTATCGCCTTCTGCACCCCTGTGTCTCCACCCATAACGCTAGAGTCTGCGTCCCTCCAGATGAATCTGGCAGAAATGCCTGTGCTCGGGGAACAGAGGGCCTTTTCACCTGTTATTCCCAACTGGTCATCAGCTTCAGTCACCTTCTCTCCCTAATTGCACACTTCTGTGCAGTGTGCACTTCTCAAGTGGCCTGGTTTACCTAGGATAAATGGGGTGTGATGTCCAGAAGCCTGCAGGTCCTCCCTCCGAGTGGTCTTTGTGGAGGGTGTTTTGTTTACTGCTGTTAAAGCACAGGGAGCTTGTGGGGACTGTGAGAAGGATGGGGCAGGGGCTGGGGGCAGCTGCTGGTGGAGACTGAGCTTGGGGCCTGGACCTCCTGGGGCTGGGAGTCATAAACTCCTGATCCTGTGCTGAAACTGGAAACCGGAAACTGGGCCATGGTTCCCTCCTTGACCCTAGGGGCCTGGTTTGACCTCTCATTTCATCTTCTATTCTCCCCCAGTTGGACGCCCTGCTCTGCCCAGCTTGGACACTATTTCTGAAGAGGACAGAGGGACCTCACTCTGGGCTTTGCCAGCCTCTGGATGTCCCCGTCACCCCCCCCCCCCCACCAGCAGAGCTCAGCTCCACTCAGCTCCAGGGGCTCCTCGAGGGCCACCTCTCTCCCGCCCCCTCCAGCACCTGGTTGGGTTTAGGTTCACCATCTGCCCATGGGATCTGTGGCCTGGCTCCCTAGCCAAACTGTGAACACTTGGAATGGGACTCCCTTTTTTTTGTCAGGATCTGCACCAGGAGCCATCCTATGCCCATGCTGGGTCCAGGTGCACCCCAGATGACTGATAAGTTAATTAGACACCATTTGCCCCACTGGAATCCATATTCTTTCATTTATTTATTTAACTTTTTTAATTTTTAGGAAGGGTCTCATTATGTAGCCCCTGGATAACCCAGAACTCTCTGTGTAGCCCTGGCTAGCCTGGAACTCTCTGTGTAGCCCTGGGTAGCCTGGAATTCTCCGTGTAGACCTAGCCTTGAACTTACTTGTAGGGACATTGCTGTCTCTGCCTCCTGGGTGCTGGGTTAGATCTGCAGCGTGTCCACTGGCACCCCTTTTTGAAGCCAGACTAGGCACCTATGCTCTCCTTCCGAGACCACCCACGTGACTCCTCATGCCGTTGAGAATGAGATGCCTGCAAACCCCAAACCTGAGTGACGAGAAGCTTCCACAGCACGGAGCCCAACCACTCATGTCTGGCCCCTTTTCCACATACTCCCGGGGACAGCCCCTTGGAAGGATGCTCCAAAAATCGGATGCAGACAAAGCATTTGGGTGAACATGGAGGAGGGTTCCAGAACAAACCTTTCTCTCCCTCTGCCTTTTGACCCCATTTGCCCCATGTTTCATTGACCAGGCTTTCCGGCCGTCTCTCTCCCCAATGGCAACCTCTCTGCTCTAGAATGAAGCCGCTGAACTTGGACAAATGTCACAATGCCTATGCCATGACTTGCCCCAAAACACAAGGCTCTTAACCAGGAGTGATTTCACTTCAGGCAGCATTTGGCAGCATATGGGAATGTGTTAACTCCACAAGTGCTGGGGTAGGCTGTTTCTGATTTCGTGAGTACACTCCAGAGATGCTCACAGACATCCTTATACAGGTCAGCACCCCCCCCCCAGGAAAACATTCTCCATCGCCAAATGTCAGTCCTATGCCAAGTACAACTGATCTGTCTAGTTTGAGCCGTGATTTGCCGCCTCGCACTCCTCAGTGCCTGGTCACTGCAAACACCGCCCAAGGGAAATGAAGAACGGAGGGGCCAAAACATTCCTGTCACCCTTGCTGTGACTGCACAGGGAAGCCAGGAGGCCTGGTGGTCTGGGGAACCAGTCTGCAGCGAGGCCTCCCTTTGAAACCATCAGGTACAGGAAGGCCCTGCATGAAAGGCTGGTGATGAGAGACATGTAAAGGGAGCACTTTTGTTTCTAAGCTTAGGGAGCAGGGTGGAGAATGTCTTCACGGAGCCAAACCACACACGCCTCTATTGGGGCGTGAAAAACACTCGAATGAAGGCAGAATAGCGCACCTGCCTCCACTTGCCATGCGCGCAGCACACACACAGGGCCGCAGGAGCGAAATGGGAAAGTGTATTTACTTAGTGGGAACTCTCAAATAATGGCCCTGCCTGCCCCGGCAGGTAAGACTTGCGGTTTCAGTTGCACTTGGTCTGTTTTCAACACAGGATATCTCCGTTTGACAGTGTTTGAACAGATGGTGTGCAGGCAGCACCTATGACAGCCTCCGACCGGATCCCAGGGTCCCATTGTTGGCCACTCTGTGCATAGAACGTGGAGGGCTTGAAGATGTCACCTCTGCACTGCCTGTGTGTGACTGCTCTCCCATCACGTGGAAACATCTTGGATTTACTTTACGTGTATGAGTGTTTGCTTGCGTGCGTGTCTCTGTACCATCTCAGGGCAGTGCCCTTGGACAGCAGAAGAGGGTGTCGGATTCCCTGCCGCTGGACATACAGGCCCGTGGGGAGCGGCCGCGTGGGCGCTGGGAACTGAATCAGGGTCCTCGTAAGTGTAGCACGTGCTCTAACCACTGGGCCGTCCCTCCAGCTCCGTCCCGCCACTTACTTCGACCCACGTCACCCAAGATTTGTGTAAATCGTCCAGCATGGCAGGCTCACTAAGAGCCTAAGCCACAGAGAGGACCCACTAGCAGTGTCACACAACAAATATGTCAGAAGGAGATAGTCCCGGTAGTGTGCGGCGGAGTGATGTCATCGAGGGCCCCTGTGCTATGCATTTCAGGTCTCTCAGTCACTCCACAGTCAGGAGCCGCTGCTGCAGCCGCGGGCGCAGAAGAAAGTATTGGCTGCACCTTATGTGGTTGATCGCCCCTTTGCCCAGCACTATGATGGGTTTTTCGTTTTCGTTTTTTTGTTGTTGTTGTTGCCATTCATTCATTTGCTTGTTTTGAAAGTTCTAGGCAAGTCTTGGCCATCCCATGTCTGTCTTTTATTAGGGGAAGGACATATTTCCTAGCGGTCTCAAAATATTCCCTCTATGCCCTTTGTACCCAAGCTAGGTTATGCCAGCCCAGTGGCTAGCAAAGGAGCAACTACTGCCCTCTCAAGACTTACCTAAGAGGGTAGGAAAAAGTTTCCTCCAGGCTCGCCCAACACTTAAAATCAGAGCTCCATCAGAAATCGAGGAACCAAAGCACTTTATTTGCAAGAGCGCTCATGAGATGAGTTAGATTCCCTGACATCTAAGCTAAGCCTTCCGGATTAGATCTTGGACACATTAGTCACTTATTTCTGTACTGACAGATCCGTGTGCAGGTAATAGCTCAGAGCTCCCAAGCAGGACACAGAACTTCCAGTGTGGGCAATGGCTCCCAGGATTCAGAGTTCTAGAGTTGGTGTCTTAAGACAGTAGAAGACTGCTACAGGGTCTTAAGCGGGAAAGTGATAGGTTACAACGTAGTTTCCCAAGTCATTCTGGCCTTAGATGGGACACAATAGTAACTCGCTACACTGTACCTCTTTATGTCTTTTGGCCATGGTCAAACAAGGTCATGGCCCTTACCACCAGCCGTTGTTACAGAGTTGCTCTTGCACTGAGTAGTTCTCTGGGAACCCTGGTTACTTCTCATGAGAAGGCTCCCAACACAACAGCACTAGCCCCTTACAGCCCATTGGGTTTACTGTCTTGGTGTATAATCACTCCTGTCACTCTGGCTGGCATACCACTAGCCATGATAGGCAGTCAGTGGGGCTCAAACTGATGGGACCACCCAAGGTTGAAGCTTCAGCCTGCAGAATTGTGAGTTAAATAAGTCTCTTTTTACTTTCTATATTATCTGGCCTCGGGCACTTTGTTGTGGCAATGACAAACATACAAGTCTAGCCCGAGTTCATGACTCACAAGATCAGGGACTGTAATAAAACGATGGTTGTTTCAAGCCACACTGTTGGTGTGGTTTGTTGTGTAGGGATAACTGAAACACTGCGATGATAATGACTCAGTTTTATTCGTTTATTAGGTCAGGGGTAATATGCAGGACAATGGGTCACACTATGACATTTCAAGTCCATATTCACCTAATAATGCTACTCCAGTGTTTTTTTAAGATGCCCTCTCCACTTGAGCACTGCACTAGCTGCAGAAAGACCATAGGAGTTGTTTCTGCAGGGTTTCTCCTCCAGGAAAACTGTTGGACTTGCAGGATCCAGTTCCGAAGAAAGCTCAAGCTCAGTGAAGAGTAAACACCAACTACCACAAAAATCAAAGCCAAACCCAATACCAAATTAACCAGCAGGCTCCCCTTCTGAATAAAAATAATGCAATTATCTAAATTCTTGGTTTTCCCATGACTACAGCAGAGGTGTCTTGAAGGGTGTGACCTCCAAAATACACGGGCGAGGGGAGACTGTATGCTTCAAATGTCAGAGTGAAGGGAGGCAGCGGGTTGCTTTTAATCAGTGTTTATGCAACAATGCCCCCAAAGCTGTGACTTGTGGAGGGAAAACGTCACCTTCTCTCTTTCGGACACCTTTTACTTGTTATTTCAATAGGAAATTATTCTTTCAGAATTAGCTACATCTGTCAGCCCACCATTCCTGGCTGCCACATAAGTAGTTCTTACAGTGTCCCACCTCCTCAATAACTCTCTCTTCAGCTTCACCTTCCCTGGATTTTATTTATATTTGACAATTCCCTGGGGTTTCCTGACAGGAAATGTTAGTGAGAGCTGGGATCGCGTGGTTTAAACATTTGGTGCTACGTTATTTTTCTTTATTAGCGTTTCCATATCTGAAGAAGACAGTATATCTACCCCACACCAAAGGCTGTCCACTTTTTAGTGTTTCCAGACCCATCATTAACTGTAAGCCTTAAGGTACCAAGTCAACTGTCTCCTTTGTCAGTATGAAGGATACTCTGAGTTAGGGAGATGACTCAGTGGGTTAAGAGCTTGCCGTACAAACACAGAGACCTCAGTTTCGATCCCCAGCACCCACTTAAAAGCCAGGCATGGTAACACATACCTATACCCTCAGCTCTGGGGAGGGAGCAGACACGAGGGCCCCTAGGGCTTTCTGGCTAGCCAGTCTATGCAAAATAGCAAGTTACACAGGTTAAGTGAAAGACATTGTCTCAAAAAAACAATGCGGAGAGGGATGAAAGAAGACATAGACATTGGCCTCTGGCTTCCACAGAGTCCTGCACAGACACAGACATGCACACAACAGACACACACACACACACACACACACACACACACAGGTTTGTATAAGCATGCACACATTCATACACGCATGCCTGTTCTGGGGCTGGGGCTATACCTCTGTAGCAGAGCATTTGCCTAGCACCGGGCCCTGAGTTCCAACCCAGTACACCCGAAGTGAATGTTTGTCGGATTGGTACAGGTTGCAGCCGAGTGAAGAAGATGACATTCTTCCCACACTCTCAGTGCTAGGCTCCGCAGATGTGCTCGTTTCCATGGTTTCCTTTCCACGGGCATTATAATTGGTCAGGACAAGACTGCCCCCTCCGTCACTGGTCATAGCCCTTATAGTGGCTGACTTTCCAGCCGTGGGCCTTGGGTGGCATACAAGCCCTATTCCCCCTTTTCATTCTTTGTGACTGTCACATGGCGGTCCCCTCCACCATGGAGCACCGTGAGGCTGTCATTCAACAATGCAGAACCAGATGAGTCTGGCTACCTATCATAGGAGTTCACCATGAGGCAGGTTTGATTTCCCGACTCACCTGAAGCATGTCATATCGGACCAGCCACCGTCTGGTGGAAGGGTGTCCAATGCAGAAAAGCCTTTACTTTCTAGAGAAGGCGTTTCACCAAGTTGGACTCATAATACCACACGGCTGTACCCCTGGGGCTCCCTTATCTACCAAGTGACTTTGTGGTTTTCTTTCTTTCTGTGTTCAGGCAAGCATATGCTGGGGTCTAGAAGCCAGCTGTGGCATCACTCACCATTTTCTTTATTTGAGACGGGGCTCCCTGCTGCTGTGGAGTTCACTGAGCAGGGTGACCAGTGAGCTCCAGGAACCTGGCTGTCTTTGCTTTCTCAGCTTTAAACAAAGAAACAGACAAACAAAGACGTGGTTTATTTTCAATTATGTGTATGTGTCTGTGTGAGTATGTGCTTGTGAGTGTATGTGTCCACAGAGGCCAGAAGAGGGCGCCAGATGCCCTGAGCTAGAGCTACAGGGTGTTGTGATTCACCTAACTTAGGTACCAGGGACTGAACTCAGATCCTCTGCAAGAGCATCGCATGTTCCTAACCACTGAGTCATCTCTCCATCTTCTCCTCCAGCTTTTCACACTTGAGTTCTGGAGAGCAAAGGGGTCCTTGTGTTTATAAGGAAGGAGCTTTACTGATAGAGCGAGCGTCTCCCAGTCCCCAACTTTGGAGTTCTCTATACCCCAGCGGATCTTAATCAGAGAGATAGAAACAACTCTCTGGAAATACCGAAAGCAAATGGTGGCTTACACATATGCATCTTACCCTGGGTTTTTTTTAATCACGTATATGCAAGTCTCGAAAATATAGCATTCCTAGGCTCTCTGTCAAACACCATGGCAGCCCAGGTCCTTCCCAGCAGACTCACTGTGACACTGTCCAGATTTGGCTTTAAGAAGATGTGTGTTATTATGGCCTGCCATGTTCCAAGAAGAGTTGGAGGCAGCTAACTTAAATATACAAGCATGAAAAGCCGATTCAACTTCTTCCTTGGTCAAAGATGCCCTGCTATAAATAGAAAGCACTGGAATCCTTATTATACAGTGACTTATTCATGAAGATTACCTTATTTTGCAACAAACAGACGTTTCTAATAAATGAGTACAGTTAAGTATGTGTCCGAGATTTTTTCTTTTGACCTTAAAATTATAGCCAACATGTCGTGTTTTCATTTTTGCCTAATCACAAGGAAATCTGATGTTATTCTGTAAATTGCACAGAAGGATTTTTTGACATGGGCAAAGCTTAAATAGTCCTGACGGTTTGGATAAACTCTGCCATCTTCCTCATGGCGTGGCATGGAGAGTCCCCTGCTCAGACCCGTCCGGGGCTCCTCGTCTGTGGCTTTAATTCATCTCATCTCCTATAACATTAAAGCACATTACTTTCCAATTTTTCCCTTCTGGGGGTCACCTGAAATCCCACGTTCCTGTGATTTATTAAAACATTCAAATGTCAATCCCTTATTCATGTTTTTATAAATACGCCCTTGACTCTCTGCCAAGCGGAGCGTAATTTTTGCATTCTCTGGTGGGGTCAGGTTTTGGTGGGACCTTACGGTAGCGTGTGGCCCAGTATGCTGACTGGGTCGTTACCTGGTGAACCAGCCTGCCTCCTCAAGCGGGTGTCCTTTGTTCACGGATCAGAGAGTGAGGGAGAGAGGCCTTCCACTGCCCAGCTGGAATGCTACCTGGTCCATGTTCCCCCTCCTCTGGTTGCAGGTATATGTAGTAAGTCCCTTGCACCGCTGGTTGGTGAAATAGAAGGTGCCAGTCCTGACCTTTGCCACCCCAAGCTTGTCCCTGACACTGACTTTTGTTAAGAAAGGAGGACCACCCTGTGCCTGCCGGAGTCGGATCATCCTGTACCCGAAGGGACACCCTGGCCTTGCGCCAAGGCTTCCGGTGGGAAGAGAAGCAGCAAGGCCTTGAGTATTTGGAGAATCTGCCATCCTTTGCAGCCGCCTGCTTGATAGGATACGCCCAGACCGGGGTTTCCTATTGACTTAGTTCCCGTCTCGGCAAAGCCAAACAGCCTATGTTTGAAGAAGAACGTCTCACCGGGAGCGGAGAGAAGGCGCTGGCCCTGAGGCACTTGGCTGCCTGCTGCTGAGGGCAGGACAGGGGTTCAAACTAGTTCCCACCCAGTGAGGGCATGTGAGCCTGCTTCCGATGGGGCCAAGGAGGAAGACGTGCGGACATCCAGTTTTTTCAGATGAGGAAAGAAGCCTCCAGGCCTCGCTCCCCCAAAGAGGACAGCTTTCGTCTTCTTACTGGTGGCTTTGCCTATATAATAAAAAGACAAATATATAGTAACCACAGACTATCCTGAAGAGGGACAGCATGCTACATCTTTCTGAAAATAGTCAAGTTCCTGGGGCGCCCCCCCCCCATGGAGGAGTCTCAGGCCATGTCTGCTGCTGTGATGAAACACCCTAACCCTGAGTCATTTATAGGCAGCATCTGTTCACTTCTTGTCGTTCTGGAGGCATAGAAGTTCAGGATCAAGGCACTAACAGTCAGTGTCTCCTGGAGCCTGTCCCCTGCAGGTGGTGTCTCCTATGTGACTTACACGAAGTAGAAGATGATGGCTCCCCGGGCTGGAGAGATGGTTCAGTGGTTAGAGAGCACTGCCTGCTCTCCCGAAGGTCCTCGGTTTCATTCCCAGCAACCACACAGTGACTCACAACCGTCTGTAATGAGATCTGGCGCCCTCTTCTGGCCTGCAGACACACATGCAGGCAGAACACTGTGTGCATAATAAATAAATCCCTTGGATCTCGAAGTCACCGATCCTGTCTGTGCCTCGTCATCTCCCAAAGACCCAACCTCTTAACATGGCCGCTTTGCAGACTTGGTTACAGCGCCTGGATCTGGAGGAGACACAAGCACTCCCATAGCAGCATCCTGCTGCCCCGCCTACTTCTCCACACACTGACTGCATGGCAACAGCCCTCAGAGTCCTAACGCATGTTGGCCTCGACCCCAAAGCACAAACTTCACAGCCTGCCCTAAGAAAGGCCTTGTCTGACACGAATGAGACTAGCCTTGGTCTCTCTCTCTCTCTCTCTCTCTCTCTCTCTCTCTCTCTCTCTCTCTCTCTGTCTCTCTTGTCTTTCTGTAACAAAATATTACAGGTTATAAAGAAAATGAATGTTTTTATTTTTTTCCTTCATAACGCCTCTACTGATGTTTTACAA